GCCCCCCATCCCTCCCGCGGCATGGTGCTACGCGGAGCCACCCCCTCCTCTGCCTGCCCTGAGAAAAATCAGGGCTCTGCTATTCCCAAGCAGGTATCAGGGGAAAGCGGCAGGTTAATCAGACGAGTGCAGCTGAGGACAAGCCTAGCCACGAGCACGGCATTGATCAGCAGCCTCTCATGCCTGCGCAACATCTAATCAGAGACAGATCCCATGATGAGCCCTGGTCACAGGGCCAGCGCCTCCTCCTCGGGGCAACCATCTGTCCTGCTCTGAATGAGCATCTGAGCGAGGCTCCAGCGGGAGACCCGGGGCCCCCGGCACTCGTAGCGGTATCTGCAAGGCTCCTTGGGCTCCACGCCGGCCACAGCTGCTGGGGCAACGCCCCACGGGAGGGCAGGCTGCCCTCCTCTCTGATCGCTGACGGCCCCTGCTCTTTGCCTCCCCTCAGGACCAGGCTGAGGACTTCAGCCACTTATCGAATTAGCAGGATACAGCCTACGGTGGTGCAGGCTGCCACACGCACCTTCAGCTCCAGCCGACACGGGTTAGCAGGGTGAGCACGGCCAGCACGCTCTCCTGGCAGAGACGAGCGTATCCAGAGCGGCATAAGCCCAGGAGGACGCAGCCCTGACCCACACGATGTAGCACCAGGACCACAGCTTTTGTTTCACAGTACCATGAGGTTTCTAAGGCCTCTGCATCCTCCCTTTACAAGACCTTAACATTAGTGAGAGAGGCAAGGTCTTCCTCTAGACCCATAGGTATAGTCTGAAAGAAGAGAAGGGTTTTGGGGCTCACAAAGGTTGCCTGGCCTCCATCAGCCAGGTACCAGGACGGTCTCGGCAGGGACGGTGCCCGGAGCAGAGCCATGGGTGCTGGCGCCAGGCGGGCCTCCTCAGCAATGCAGTTAGGACGTCTCCAAGCTACCCCCTCCTCTGCAACGCACGTCACACCAGCCAGCCCCAGCACAGCCAACCACCCCTCACCATCGGCATCACCAAAGAGGGACTCACCACCAGGCCAAGGAAGCCACATCCCCAACCCATCGCAGACCTGCAGCAAGCCCATTGCGGCCACTCTGGCTGCTAAAATTGGGGGTCCTCTACAGTCTGATGCAGAGACTCCCTATACAGAAACTCCCCTTAAAGACAGCTTCCTCCTCTCCTAGTTTGTGCAAAATAAATAAAGAAAAAAAAACAACTGCCCAGTACTTTTTTCATTACAAAAAAGGAGCAACAATTTGGTTTTGCCCAGGCTTTTCAAGCTGGGCTGCTGCCCAAGACAACTGTTTTCTGAAACTTCCCTGC